TGAACATAAAATAAGGTATTTTGAAGACTGTTGGTAAAAAGCTGTTTTGGTTACCAATGACTTCCATTGCATGAATGAAAAAATAATGAAACATTCAAGATGTTTCTCAAATTATCTTCTTTTATGTTCCATAGTTTATGTTAGCCATTGTAGCCCAAACATTTATGTGTAATAAATTTTATGTTGAATCCAATAAAATATTTATTTCTAAAGCTACTATTTGAAATGTCTACGTAATACGTAATACTACGTAATACCAAAAAAAAAAAAAAAAAAGTTTGAGTTTGCAAGAGGGCAATTCTAAAAACAGTGAGGCTGTGAAAGTGACTAGGGAGTAGGTGAGTTTGTTAAACACAGACCGTAACCAAAAACCAATTCAAAAAACGTATTGACTTCAGAAGTGCTAAAATGCTAAATCCCTTCAAATGATTACATCATTAAAAAATACTGTATGCAATCTCTTCAGCACTCTATAATAACAAATATGCATAATGACAAAAAAGGTCTGTATGATGCATAAGTACATAGACAATGATTTTTTTTTTTATTATTATTATATGCATTACAGTTTTTTTCGATTGCTAAATGACAGTGGGCACAACTGGAGCTACATGTGCAAAACTCTAACTACAGTCTGCACAGCAGCAGTTCATGTGGACCAAACTCTAGTTCGTTTTTCATTGCTTGAACACATATATTGTTTTGTGGCATATTGTCACTCATTTTCTTTTTTTTTTTTTCTTTCTTTCTTTCTTTCTTTCTGTCAGTACTATGCTTTCACATCATTCGCTCTGCAGTTGAATGAGCTGGATGCAGAGATGGAGCAGGTTCTTCCACAGACAGACTGTCGTCTGAGACCTGATATCAGAACCCTGGAGAATGGAGACATAGGTACATCGACCTCTTATTGACTCATGATGAAATACATTCATTCAACCAGTAAACTCACAACCACTGCAGATTCATTTACAGTCTTCGCAACAAATGCAATGCTATACATTATCTTCAGCTCATGCATTACTCTAGTGTCATGCTCTAGTGTTTGAGCTACATTTTGAACATTTGCATAAAGGTATTTAAACATTGTGTGTGTGTGTGTGTGTGTGTGTGTGCGTGTTTGTGTTT